CTCTCTCTCTCTCTCTCTCTCTCTCTCTCTCTCTCTCTCTCTCTCTCTCTCATTTAGTACACAGCCTCACCACACAGAGCGGACTCCTAATGATCCTTCTGTGTTCAGCCTCCCAAGCGCTAGGATTACAGGTCCACGGCACCACGCCCGGTCTCCCAGCGTGCCCTGGGGCCATGTCCCGCACAGCACACCGTGGATTGAACCCGGGCCGCTGAGTCTGCCTAAGCAGTAGAATTTCTTACAATAAGTCTATGGTATGTTGTTAAGGCATCCCAAGCAGATTGATACAGTGAGCACACATCTTGAAAGCATACGTCAGCAAAAATTTGATTCAGTAAAAGTAATTTTATTACAATGTTTAATTATTAGTATGCATACTGAAAAATGAAAAGGCAATTAAAAATCTTAGAAATGCAATTGAAATCTATTTGCCACATCTTTTTAAATTTTAGTTTATTGTCTCAGAATTTTCAGTAAAAACTATCGAGCTTATGAATATTTTAAATGTTACTTTAAGGAAAGTCTAACCCTTTAAGAAAGAAACAAACATCCACTGTCACAGAGAATGAATTCTAGTTCTCGTTAAGCTTTTAAATTTTATAGTTGGTTTGCAAGACACCAAGACTTCTCTCATCCTAAAACTTTCATCATTTAAAGGATAGATATTAATGAACACTCTCAAATTAACCCACTATTAAGTAATTTATAATTTTACAATAGAGACAGAAAACACAAAGTTTAGATAATAAGTATTATTATTATTATTATTATTATTATTATTATTATTTTGTATTTTAGGAACAGGTCTACAGGGTGCTCAGGGTCTCACTACTAGACAGGATTCTTAGTGATCCTCCTGTTTACAGCCTCCCAAATGCTGGGATTACAGGCGCGCACCACCACGTCCAGTCTCAATTGCCATCTCAGGGCGCCCCAGGGCCAGAGCTGGCACTGCATTAAGCCATATTATGTAAAACTCTAAAATCTTAGAAAATCTATCCAGCAATGTCTAGTTACATAATGGAATCAGGAAACTGAGTTTAATAACACTTCTTGGTTAATTTTTAGAATACTAATATAAAACCTCATATATTTGAAAGGGCCATATTTTTAAAAGATATGCCATGATTTTAATGTTTTTATATTTACCACTTTGTCATCTACAAATATTGTACTCTGTATTTTATATCTTTTTGTTTTTTTTTTTTTTTTTTTTTTTCCTTTTTTTGTACTGGGAATCAATCAGTACCTTGCACTTTCCAGGCAGGTGCAATGTCCCTGAGCCACATCCCCATCCCTACGTCTTAATTTTTTCACACAACTGAACACAGACACAAACAACTTTAATGAGTTTTAATAGCTTGTCTTCACTTTTCAGGTTTGGTCGTATTCACTGCATCACCTTTCACTAGACAAAATATAGTTAACACTAAACAAAATGCAGAACTTCAGCTGTAAAAAAGCATTCCATTATCTTTATACTCAACCACTGTTAAATATATGATGAAAAAGAATGATATTCCATTAAAGAATCAAAGAATCATGAAATATGAGGTGAGATCAAAATACAAAGTGGATGTTTAAATTGTAATAACATACAGTTAAGGATCACCTGTCATTACTCTACTCTTGTTTCAAACAAAGTGTCCCTTCACTCTTCTTACTTTCTGAAGTAGTTTTGAAAGTCTTCCTTTATGAGTAACTTTAGCTGCAAAGTCATGGCTTTTTCAGTGTCCTGAATGGATTCAAACCATTGAACTTTCATGGTCATTTTGACTTTGAGGAAAAGCCAGAAGTCTTCTGGTTCTAGATCCAGTGAATAAGGTGAATGGGGACAAACCATAATTTGTTTATGAGCCCGATTTTACATTGGATGGCATTTGGCACAGTATTCACTAAATTCTTGATTGTACCTTGATCATCCAAAGGAGAGCCTCCAGAACTGCCTGAGAAAGCGTCAAGAATGATAGGATAAGTGTGTTTGTAGAAATGAGGCATAGTTTAAGGTGAATAAATGGTGTTGTGTCTTTCACTGAAATAATTTTTAATTGAAATATGCCCTGCATTTAAAATTTTTAAAATCAATTAATTGATTGATACAGAGTACTTCTTTACAGGTCTGATTTGTAGTCATCCTACTGTCTCAGCCTCCCCTGTGCTGGGATTACAGGCTTGCACTACCACTCCCAGTTTTGGCAAACAGCACTGCGAGAACAAGTTTCTGAGGCCTGCACGGTATGTGCTACCAGGCATCAAACCCAGGTCTTCGTGCTTGCCAGGCAGGTGCTCAGACCACTGCCCTATCTTCTTAATAGCCCCTCCCTGCATTTTTTGATCATCCTTAATATTTCCTCAGTGATTAATTCACACCTGATACATATAATGAAAACTCTAGAGGTGGGTAGTATCTTTAAATAGTATAATACTAAAATGCATGCAAAGTTCAACTTATAAAGTACTTGAAGTCTTTAATAGACATTAAAATGATAAGACATCTTATTATTCTTGTTCTTTGAACACAAAGTCCCAGAAGAAAGTTTTAGATCAAAATTTTACCTTATTCTGCTCAAACTGGACTTTCAAATATCAAATATATATGTAATATATATAGTTTATAAAAGCAGAGTATCACTAAGACATGGAGATGTTTTTCATATCAGTATTTTAAGCATAATGATCATAGTCACCCTCACAACCAACAAAAAACCAGCAATTAAGATGTCCTTCAGTAGGTGAATAAGTAAACCATGAAACATTGACACAAGGTACTAGTAGCTAAGAAGAGGAAATGAGCACAAAGGACACAGGAGAGAGAACGACAAAGGACTTGGTAGAGAGAATCTTAACTATGTACTGTTATTTAAGCAAATTAAACCTCAAAATACTACATTCTACTTAATTTCAATTGTGTAACATTGAAAGGGGAAACTACAGATAAAGACTGCGAAGTCAGTGGATGCAAAGACTGGGGAGGGCGGGAGAGAGAGACAGTGTGCAGGGACTTTTGTGACATGGTGAAGCTTCAGTGTGATACTGAAATGGTGAAATAATATGATACCTAAATAACTATATAGCATAAATAATGAAGTCTAATGTAAGCTACCTTCTTTAATAATAATACATCACTATTCCTTAATCAATCATAACAAGCTGTCGCCCTAATGTAAGATTTTAATAATTGTAGAAATTACATTGGAATCAGGAAATTCTGGGCTCTTTGCCCAGAATTTAAAATTGCTCTAAGATCAAATGTACTGATTTTCTTAAAAATTGGAAGAATTTCATTATTCCTTCACTTCTTAATGGTATGGTTCAAAGTCATGAAACATTTGCGAAGATAACATGTGCACACATCTTGTATCCTAATGTGTGGAATGGCGGGAAGAAAAGCAACACTACACCATTGGGTAAACTCAACAGGAACAGCAGCACAGCACTAGGTCTCTAAGTTTGTAATCAAACATTTCAAATTACGATAACTTAGGCTTTCAGGTTTTCTTTGCTTATTAGGATCACTTGGCTGACAGTCCAGGAAACCAGCACATTACATTTTGCTTTAGATTTAAATTTGATAGATAGTTGCACACTGAGTATTTTATAGTTCAATATGCAGATAAATACATTTTAAAAAGTCTACTCACCACTATATTTGACAACACGAATTGTCGAATCTCCTTCACCGAATTTGGTGAGAGGAGTCAGGCGGACTTCATAAGGCTCTGGCTTAATGAGCTCGGTCAAGTTATGTGTAATTAATTCTCCCTTCTGTATATTCCCATTTATTTTGATCTCCTGTTCCCACCAACGCTGCTGTCCAGCCTGCAATAAAATCAGTCGCATAAGCATGTTCCCACTATGTCCTTCAGAGGTACTTACTGTGTTCTAAGACAACGGAAAAGCAACTTGGAAGCTTATGAAATGAGTATCTTATATAAGTACATTCAGATTTATGTGGAGCAATTAATTTCGTAGATCTTGATATAAGTGTCTAATTATTATAAGAAATTAATAAAAATTAACTTACAGGACACAACACATCACCTAATATTAACTGAAAGTCATGAAGTTCAAACAAGAACCACTTGATCTGGAGATTTAGAGATATATAAGTGTAACTGTTTCATTTAACTTAAAAAATATCATGTTACTGTTGAATACCTGAAATTTCTTTATTATGTATTTAAAAGCATGAACTATATACACAACAGTTTCGTGATATGATCGAAGCATTCAGGTTACAAAATATGATTGATTTCTTAACTTCTACAAGTTTATTGAAATGAGGGATAAACAATAAAATAGATATTTACTCTAAAATGATTTAAAAAGTCATAAATGCAGTAGACAACATTTTCAAAATTTCAAATGGAAATGGATCAAGAATAACAAAGAAGTGCAGGAAGGAACTTCTTCCCAGGCAATCAGAGAACACCTTTTCCAGAAGGCTGAGGGTTAGGAATTCGCCATTGGGTTTAGCAAGATGAAGACAAGGTAACTTTGAAGTAAGTAGTACCCATGGAGTAAGGAAGTTTGAGACTTGATTGGAAGAAGAGGCTTTAAACTGTTTTTCTTACACTACATGCATAATACTTAGACTAAAATTTGTACGAACAACTTAGGGAACAAATTATTGAGATCTTACTTAAAATAATCTAGAGATTTACAAAAGAAAACTGCTAAACTCTTCAGTTAAAAAAATTAAAGATGATTCAAGAAAGGAAAATTGCATATACAGAAATAAAATTCATCATTTTAGCTGTCATGTTACATTCACTTTAGTTTATTTTACAAGGCCAAAAGAATTGTCTAACATTAGGAAATTTATTAATACAGTTAACTGGAAAAAGAAAATATGTATTGAAATTTTCCATCTGAGGGCTGGCCAAATAGTTCGGTGGAATAAAGTGTCTGCACGTAGGTGCAGGGGTCAGGGGTTCAATCCCCTGGTCCCCCATGCCAGCCTCACCCCAAGGACAAGCTGAGAGGGCGATTGAGACTGGGCATGGTGGTGCATGCCTGTAATCCCAGCTCTTGGGAGGCTAAAACAGGTGGATCACTATGACTCTGATCTAGTAGTGAGACCCTTAACACTCTGTAGACCCTTCACTAAAATACAAAAAATAAAATAAAATAAAAATTCCATTTGATTGAGAAAAGTGCACATATTTAAGTGCTGCTTATAATGCAACTATTACTGGGATAAAATAGGAAATAATTTGAATCTAATAAATAAGACTGAACAAAACTCTATCAGATGTGTTATTAATAATACATTTGTATGCTTCAGTTATTTGTTTTGAAATTACAAATGAAAATAGAATACGAAATATTGTCAGTCAAAATTATAACAGTAAAATTAAGACTGCATGGTAATTATAAAAAAATAAATTTGTAGAGTTGTCTACATGCCCCTGTCTTTCTCTGTCTCTCTCTTTCTCTCTCTTCTACTCTTCTACCCCTTTATATTTGGCCTTCCCACCAATAAGTAGCTTTCTATATTGGGACTCATTCATCTCTTTGTAAGGAAGATTCATTTTAATGATTTTTGCATGCTAACTTCATGCATATAGTTCATTAGACTTAATAGGTGCTTCATATATTTGTTTGCTAGTATGAATTGTGATTTTTAAATTTTCAGCTATTTTGCTGCTTTATGCAACATTTTATCTTCCTTATTTTAGTAAAAATGTGCATTTATATATATATATATAACATATAGACATTACTTTTTATATAAATACATGAGTCTGCTACTTTTCATAACAAATATATGGTATCCCTGTTGATAGTGCTTATTTCATTTTATGTATTGATCAGGTGGTTTACAATTTTGTTCTTTGAGGTGTAGGACAAGTATGTATTCCTTTGTACATGCCCCTTTCTTCTGATGTGCTCCTGAGGGCATCACTTCTTTCACTTTGATTATGAACCCATTTGTTTTTCAGATTACAGTGAAGAACTTTTCTTCCTTGGGGTTTTCATTCTTATCCACATTGATCTCACCAAACTATTAAAAATTAAAATCTAGTTTGTCTGAGTTGGCGAACAGCTGTGAGCAAAAAGAGTTTGAGTAACAATTCCATTAATTTAGATTCCCATTTACCCATAGACTTTGTTGTTGTTGCTGTTTGTCTCTCTTTGGCTCTGTCTCTCTAATCTCGCCCTCTCTCTGTGTCTCTCTCTTTTTTCACACTCACAACATAGGCATATATGTACATATGCTTGTATGTGCTTGTGTATGTTTATAGCAGTTGAACATATGTATGTATATTGATGTAAACATTTTTACAGGTATGTTAATCCTAGTCATATAGCCCAAACTGATATATTTCTGGAAATGTAACACTCAAATTCATGTACAATTAATACACAATTACACACATGATAAGAAAATAATAGAAAAGAACAGCTGAAGTCCCATATAGAAATCTCTTGGGAGATTGCTGTCCACATAGAGACAGGAAAAATATGAGCCATAAAATTGCTTATGTATATGGAAAAAAGCATGTTATCTCATGTCTTATAGAGAAAAGTCACGCATTCTGATGATGATCAAATATTTAAATTTTAAAAGTAAATTGGAGAAAATAAAAATGTTTATCTTAATTTAAACATACAATGTATACATATACCAAAATATACTATGGTAGCCATAAATATTTACAATGCTATCCGCTTATGTATCAGTTTTAATTTAAAAATATTCAATCCAATTTTTAAAAAGCAACAGAAATCAGTTGGAAAAAATACAAAAGAATATAATTATGACCTTAGAGATTACACTGCTTTTTAAATGTGAAAGGAAGCATGAATCACAAAAGAGAAGATTGATAAATTAGCCAATTTTATATTTGAAATTATTACTAAGTCTAAAACTTCAAGTTAAAGATGTATTTTTAACAATGCTCCTTAATAAACTAACAAGAAAAATTCAAGTCAGATTTTTGAAAAAGATATTTGCAACTCATAAAGCTAAACCAGAATACATTGAAACTTCTATAATTTAAAAAGTAAAAGAACTCATTATAAAAATGAGCCACAAAATAAGAGTAGGTTTTATATAGATGATGAAATCCAATAATGCATTAATTACAAGAGCCTCAAGCTTACAATAAATAAATCAAAAAGGGAAATTAAAACCACAATATTGTTTTCTGCTGTCAGTTGAAATGTTAAAAATTGTAATAATATTAATATTTTCTGTAGATTAAAAAAACTGGGAATCTTTATGCATGTCAGAAAAAGAATAGTAGATGAGGGCGTTGATCAGGACTTCAGCCCACTTACAAGCTAATAAGCATGGCTGCAGTGGTGTCATGGGTAGGGTCCAGCAGAGCCCTGGAGGCCATCATGTAGCTGAAAAGGATGCATGACACAAGAGACATCATTAGCTGTTCCATAGTTTTGGTTCCCGCTGCCTCCAAAAGTTCCATGGGGTAACTGAGAAGCACCCAGAAGAATGGTGAATGTGTGTTGGTTGTATATCTCACTTCAGAGACCTTGATCATGAAAGGCATTATATTTTATAACTGACAGTAACCAAAGTTGTCCAGCCAATGTTCCTAAAAGAGAAAACTTTACTATACTGGGCATCAAATCTTCCACATACTGCCAAAGGAGCTACTATTTTCTAGAGATATTTGTTTTGCAACTTTACTGGATAGGTAAGTTGTAATAAATGGGGGAAATATCAGAGTGCTTTTGCACACCAAAGGAAGAAAGCTCTTGAAAAACTACATTTTAGAAATATTTCTCGGAATATGTCAACCGGCACAAGTTCGCAGAACAATCTAGCAATAAAAACAAGGTTACAATGTGAACAGGTAAACTCTTGTCCTTGGGCATAGGAGCATTTAAGTACAGAAAATGATCTAACATTCCTCAACAAGGCAGAAAAACCAAATTGTAGATTTCCCACAAAACAGAATGCAAAATGTAGTATGAAAAAGGAAGTTAAGGTACTTGTATCGATGTGGATGAAGTTCAGAAAGAAATATTGAGCTAAAATTGATCATGGAGCAGACATATTTCATTTGAACCCACACATTTTGAAGAGTAATATACAGTGAAAAAGAAATTATGATGAAGAGTAAACACTGACCTCAAGGTACTGGTGGTAGGGTTTAGGAAAGTGGTAGGAGGGGAATATATGCTTGACATTGTATACATGCCTACAATCCCAGCACTCAGAGTGACTGAGCTAAAAATCATGAGTTCAAGCTCAGCCTGGTCTCAATTTGCTGTGTCTCAAAATAAAGCTCAAAAGGGCTCTCTCACAGCTGGGTGAGAGCTTACTATCCAGCTTGATGTGACTGTACGTTGCCCAAAAGTCCTCCACAGTGTCAAACTTGGTAACCAGATGCAAGTTGTCATGCCAGGCCTGGCTGTGGTCATTCTTGAAGAACCACATAGCCCACGTGTTTTGCAGGGGGTGCAGTTCTAACTTGACCTACACTGGGCCTTCACTCCTGGTATTTCCCCTCTGAGACAATGGAGTCCTGGTCCTAGGAGACTTTGGAGCCCTCTCTCTTGTACACTTCCCCATCTCTGCCTTCTCTTGCTCTTTCTCCTCCTTCTTCACCCTGAGTCCACCCTCAGATTTAATCTCGGGGTAGAAGGTAGCCATGCTATGCTATATGACAGTGTGAAGGTCCTAGGTTCAAATCCAGATACATAAAATAAAAGAGAGAAAGAAAGAAATGAAATTATAATGGTTAATAAAGAGCCTAAGATTTTTGTTCTTTTAGAATTGTAATGGATATACAAAACATGATTATATTATTTTGTGCATGTCTGAAATATTTCTCTCTCTTAAAGGA